ATGCCCGTTGTGTCTAAACATGGGAATGATCCCACTTTGGAAAGTGTCTTGAATCATGTCCTGCTTTCATAGTATTCTCAGGATTTAAATAATTGGTGTGTCATTTTTTATCAAATTTGTAAATGGCATCACAAACTGGAATATTCGGTCATCAATGTTCTGAAGTTGATAGATATCACTTCAAGGATTGCTAGTGGATGAAAATTAATCTGTCAACAGAGGAGTGAACTGCATTGTATGCTGCGAAAGCAGTGTTTTTGTATTTGCAACTAGTGGCTGTGTTATACGGTGGAATTGGATAGGTAGCATAGCATCGCAGCCATGTTTTCGTTCTCACAGAGTGTATTCCGTGACCTACTGTTCTTCATTACTGTCTTTAGTGATGGCAAGATGGCCTGACGTCGTCGAAAGGCCCTGCGGAAGCAATTCACTGCTCTCCTCGTCCATGCAGGGGCTCATTTTGCACATTTTACACAAAATGGCAAATCACCCACCACTACTTATATCGACGTGGCAGGGAGAATTAAATTACATGCACCAAATTTTCTGGTCAATGCTGATCTACTGTAAAAGCAAAAATTTTCGATGGTGTAATATTTTCGGTATTCTCCAAAATCGGCGGTTCGGTGGAGGGAAATTTTCGGTAAAACCTGTAAGAAGGCTCTAGGCCTGTGGGAAAGCCCTATTAAAAATTAATAAGAGTCGGCGTGGAGAAAGCAATTTTATTAGTGCAATTAGGAGTATAATCGATGCAGACATGGCCAGACAACAACGAGTTCATGGAATTTTTAAGGATTTTTATGTTTAAAGAGTCGGCGTGGAGAAAGCAATTTTATTAGTGCAATTAGGAGTATAATCGATGCAGACATGGCCAGACAACAACGAGTTCATGGAATTTTTAAGGATTTTTTTATGTTATTCAAAATCGATTTTCGTGTTCCGCTCATCAGTGAATAGTATCGGAACTGAGGGTACTGTGTACAACAATAGAACATTTTATAACAGCATAATTAATTAAAAGTGTGAAGAACAAAGGAAGTGCTACAGCATTACATAATAGGTGTCAAACATAGTGCTAACGTATATAACTGAGTGCAGCCACAAAGCAAGAGGTGATACAGTGCAACATGACACAACATTTACATCTGATAACCAGCTACGAGAACAACTTTAGCGCGACTACATGCTTCTTTTGTTTACAAAGAACAGGATTATGCACACGAATACATACAGCTTCCAGAACATTCAACTGCTTAACATAACTTGCACGGCACAAAACAGAAAAGTGAGAATCATCGTACACACCAAGACAATCTGGACGTGATAACAAGTGACAAAATACAGCTGACTTTTTGCTCACGTCGCTCTCTTCCGTCTCATCCCGCTCCTTTCCTTCGACCTCCTCCGCCTTATCCTCGTCCTCCGTCTCATCTTCATCATCATCGTCTTCATCACCACCATCATCATCAACAGTCACTTCCTCATCATCAGTTTGATGCTCAGTCTCACTGCACTCCTTATCAGCCTCCAACATGGCTCCATCATCTCCACCAGCATCACAAGTCGTTTGACCGCTGCTCCGCGTCACCGTTGCTGGGTTCTCTGCTACTGCACACCCATTTCCACTGTCCATTTTGCGTGGGCCAAGTCCATTCCGTGCATCAATTTCAAGTGAATAGTTTGCTGTGCTTCTTCTGGGTCTATGGGTGAGGATATTGGTTTCATTTTGGTTTGTCGATGATCTCCCTCTCTGTCCAGACACAGTCGGCACCGTGGATCCCAGCACCGGGGGGACTGATAAGGAGTGCAGTGAGACTGAGCATCAAACGGATGATGAGGAAGTGACTGATGATGATGATGGTGGTGATGAGGACGATGATGATGAAGATGAGACGGAGGACGAGGATAAGGCGGAGGAGGTCGAAGGAAAGGAGCGGGATGAGACGGAAGAGAGCGACGTGAGCAAAAAGTCAGCTGTATTTTGTCACTTGTTATCACGTCCAGATTGTCTTGGTGTGTACGATGATTCTCACTTTTCTGTTTTGTGCCGTGCAAGTTATGTTAAGCAGTTGAAGGTTCTGGAAGCTGTATGTATTCGTGTGCATAATCCTGTTCTTTGTAAACAAAAGAAGCATGTAGTCGCGCTAAAGTTGTTCTCGTAGCTGGTTATCAGATGTAAATGTTGTGTCATGTTGCACTGTATCACCTCTTGCTTTGTGGCTGCACTCAGTTATATACGTTAGCACTATGTTTGACACCTATTATGTAATGCTGTAGCACTTCCTTTGTTCTTCACACTTTTAATTAATTATGCTGTTATAAAATGTTCTATTGTTGTACACAGTACCCTCAGTTCCGATACTATTCACTGATGAGCGGAACACGAAAATCGATTTTGAATAACATAAAAATCCTTAAAAATTCCATGAACTCGTTGTTGTCTGGCCATGTCTGCATCGATTATACTCCTAATTGCACTAAAAAAATTAATAAAATTTTAATAATAATAATAATAATAAAACCCGTTTTCCAGGTAACTGTGCTACTACACGTATACAGTATCGGTTGTACCGGAATTTTCGGTGCGTTTTATTTTCGGTAAAAATTGTCGGCACCGAAGTTACCGAAAATGAAACACCACCGAAAATTTCTGCTTTTACAGTACGATAAATTGGCTCTTATTTGCCACCACCCATGTTTCAATACAGCCATCCGGAGCAGAGAAACAGCCAGAAGAAATGTAAATTTTACACATTTGTTAAAAATGCCAAATGTTTAAAAAAAGCCTAATAATTTCGTACCCTTGTCTTTAAATAATCGACGCGGAGACAACAATTTTATAATAGCTATAAAGAGAACAAATTCTTCATGACTTTGTTGTAGTGTGGCCATGACAGCAGAATTTGTTCTCTTTATAGCTATTATAAAACCCTTGTCTTTCAAAATATTTATTTCAAGCTGGGGTAGGTGAACATAGTAAAATATTAATTTGCGTTATATGCTCTTCTCGCAAAAAGTGCAGACACACAGGTCCCAAGGGACTCGCACGAGCAGAAGAGAGATAATTATTATAATCACTGCTGAACTGCTCAAGGGACAACATCACACACATACATGTAACTGACGGAAACCTGCAGAAAATATGGCCCCACTTCAGACTGCACAGATTAGTAGTACAGTATAGATTTCATAGACACACATACACAAAGACACACGCATGTACACACACACACGCACGCACACATACATACATACACTCACCACTCCCCTCCACGGGTAATTGCCATCTAGCTGTTTCTGGCTAGTATCAGTTCTATCACACTTATCAATCGTCTTGTTGGCGTCACGCCATCGTGGAATAAAAGAATATAATAACAAACACACACACATACATACACTCACCACACACACACACACACATTCTCATACGTACACTCACCACACACACACACACACACATTCACATGCACACACATACACACAATCCAATCGGCCGCACACACACATACACACACAAACACAACAGGATGGTGATGAAAGTTCTCCACAAAATGTCTTTGAACAAGAGAAAAGAGAATAAAAGCGTAATTTTTTGGAAAGCGAAAGGTTTTAGCAACAAATAAAGCGATTTCTGGAAACGATAGAGAAAATTCTAATGAATTTGAAAAATCTAATTAACGAGGGTTTGAAAAAACGGTAGAAGATTTCATGTGGTGTAGCTTTGGGGGATTTTTGCTTTCATACTGGTGCAATATATTAGGAGAATGTCTTGATAAAATAAAAACCGCATGCCTGTAGGTTCAAGAGACTAAAGGGGAAAATTCAAAAATGCTGGAAAGACGATCAAGGGACGCAAACTTAACGCACGGAAAAGCGGGCAATCGATCTGTATAATTATAAAAGGAATAAAAAATAGCCAAAAAACGGGAAAACGTACACGCAACGCTAGGAAGAAAATTCCAAGCCAAAGAATGTGCCGAGATGACACCTAGAATACGCACGAGAGCACGGCAAGCACAGAGGATGATACACACCAGCACATAGAATAGGATACTCGGAGACACATGCAAACATGCACGAACGAACACACACACATGCAACTTGATCTTGTGACCTTGTCACACAGACACAGACTCACCCACAAACAGAGAGACACACACACATACACACAACACACATACACATAAACACACACACACACACACACATGCGTACACATACAGACACACACACAGTAACTCACATGCGCTACACGTGTCCACTAAAAACTTTACAAAAAAACTGCGTCGGAAAAGACGGCAATAGCATGATCACCAGGATACGATGGAATCACGTGACACACTGGACAGAGGATCATCAATCGTCATCAGAACGAGAGAATAGAAGAACAAGGCCACTGCCGAGAAGAAGTGCCAGACGTCATGGTTGTCGTAGAAGCCCAGCAGGATGCAGTCGCTGTTGAGCTTGCGCGACTCCGACGGCGAGTCGCCCCAGTCGCTCACGTTCCGTTGGAAGAAGTAGAAGGCGGGCACGCCGAAGCCGACCATGAGCAGCAGGAAGACGATGGTGAGGTGGCGGAACTTCTCCCTGTGACAGATCTTCATCACCACGTAATAGAAGAGGTAGAAAAAAAGGTTGCCCATCAGCACGTTGAGTATGAACGAGGGGAAGTTGGACGGCTGCTCGGCCACGCCGTCGATGGCCAGACCGAGGTTGAGCAGCGAGGAAAGGACGAGCAGGAGAAACCGGCGCGGGTAGCGCACCGGGCGGAAGCTGCGCTTGCGCCTGACCTCGCGCACGCTCTCCATGAGATTGTGCATGGTGGAGTAGTAGAGGTGAAGGTGGAGGCACGCCGACGCCGCCAGGTAGACCATGAAGAAGACGATCCAGAACACCAGGCCGTTGCCCAGCACGCCGATGACGACGCAAAGGACGATGAACGCGATGACGACCATCGGCTTGTGCGCGTGCAGGACCACGTCCGGATGCCGATTCTGGTACATGTGCAGGAGCGAGACGCACGCAATCATGTACATAAACGACGTGTCGAACTGGAAGTTGACCGCCGTCGGGCAGACGTGATAGCAGCCGCTCATCACCCCCTCCATGCACAGCGCCAGGCCCAGGGCGTAGAACAGGCCAAAGTGCTGCGGCAGGCCCATGCACTGGCGGAAGTGCGGGTCCAGCGCTGCCTTATGCAGGTACAGCCGCTGTCGGCGCAGTGTCAGCAGGAAAAACAAAATGCCGAGGAGAATGTAGCCAATGTTGCTGAACACGTTGTTGAAGGCGCTAAGCCCGCCCAAACGTCGAATGCAGCGGAAGTTGTAGAAGCACAAATCCTGATTGCCCGTTAGGTTCAGAATAGTTTGATAGTTGTAGACGAGCTGCATAACGGGCAGACCGTAGAAGATGCCCACGAGGCCAATGAGCCATGGGTAGGAGCTGAGTTGTTTGTCTAGTACGGCCGGTGACGACTGACAGATCTCCGCTACGCTCACAATACGTCCCGTCGTGCTGAACAGCTTACTGAAGCCTGTGCCGGGCAAGCACGACGGCTCCTCCAGCTGCTGCCCGCCGGAGCGCTCCGAGCTGGTTTCGCCATCCGAAGGCTCGCCGTCGACGGCCACTGACGTCACCCTGGGCTCGTTGTTGGTCGGTCCACCGGTCTCCACCTCCACTGCACCGTACTGGCGCTCACTGCCCGACAGCAGGCGTGTAGCACTAGGGCTGTTCGGCGAATCTTGGCCACCTTTGCCGTTTGCGTGCGACACACCAGTACTGTCCACGGCCGTGCCGAACAGGAATCCGCCCAGCGTCAGGCTGCGATTGCTGCGGTGACAGAAGCGGAGCGTGAGGGCGAGCGCGGTCAGCACGTAGAAGCCCAGGAAGATGGCCAGAGTGACCAGGACGGGCATCCAGTATTCCTGCGTGACCTTGACGACCTTGATCGACACGCTCTTCGTGTAGTACTCGCCGCCACGCACCCGCTCGCCGCCGTCCGTCTTGTCGATGAACTGCTGCTGGAACTTCTCGTCGCAGCGCCCGTCGTCCGACAGACCCAGCAGTACGACGTAGAGCGAGTCGGAGCGGATGGAGCGCCGCTGCACTACCACGGCGGCCGAGGTGGTGAACGTCTGGTATGCGCCGGAGTACTGGATGTCGCGCGCCAGGTCGTACACGGGACACAGCGCCTCCTGCAGGGACACGATGCCGCAACCCGGGCTGCTGCCATTCGACTCGATCACCACACGCATGTAATCATCATCCTCCTCAAACTTATACTGATAATACAACGGTCCTGACGGTGTTAGTTCGACGTCGAGCGGTTGACCGGTCACCAGGGTGAAGTCCTCCACCAGGTTTGCAACAAGAGAGTAGGAGATTGTCACACTGCTCGCCGTCGATACGTCAACAAACACCGTCTGATTCGCGCCGCTGCCGGTCACATTGCTCAGGTCCGGGCAGATCGTACGCGAACTGTTCATGTAGTCACCCAAGCCGCCCTCAACGGCGAACGGTACAGCCCAGGACAAAACGCTGAGCTCGCTGCGCACCACAATCGTCAGGTGATTCTCGTCAGTGGCATTACTGGACACTGTGAGACGAAGTGGGTGCGTTCCATTGCCACTGGAGTCAGTGGCCAGGCTCCACGTGAACTCGTAAACATGTGCATTGCCACGGGACACTACATCGTCGTAGGTACTGTTCACGATTCCATCGATTATATCTGATCTGCACTGGCCAACAGCCAGCAGGTTTGAGACGACGAGCAGGACGAGAAGATTCCCAAACACCGATTTCACAGCTACGCGCATCGTTCTTCTAACGACTGTGCGCTCATCTACTGCAGATTTACTCAGAGCATGGCCGTTGAAGAGCATGAGTTTACCTGCTAATGCGCTGACTCGCGACCAACAATAATAGAAGCTATCAATCAAGTAATTACTATTACGTTCTACAAATTTTTCCAGTTCTTCAGATTTATTGCAGACGCTTCATTCTGCAAGCTTGTCTGTAATCACAGTTGCTGCAAATCCAATGCAAGGAACGGCAGGAGAACTGGGAGCTACTAACCCAAGCACATGCCTGAATGAGAAAGAATTGAGAGTCCCTTTGATTTGAGGAGGATGCAAACCTCTTTCATAATGCGAGCTCGCGAGAGGAACGAAAACTTTTTTGAAACAGGAAACATGAACAACACGTGTGCACCTAGTACCTAGTACCTGTCACGTGCTCTGAAGTCCATGAACTAACGACGTTACGTGTTACTTCTACACGTCACGTACACGTACAGTGGTGCCGCGTCACCGCGTGCGCCAGACCCTTTTGGCCCGATTTTTATTTTCTGCTCTGGACACGATACAGAGTCAGTCATGCAGACGTTATGCAGGGAAAGATGACGACGCCGGTCAGTAAATAATTGTTGGCCGATTTGTTGCCTACTTCGAGGCCAGTCGGTGAAATGAGGGCTTCCTTCTTCAAGAAATACGTTGCCAGTCGTCAGTCGGATGCCACTCGTCTTCTAAACATCGCACTTGATGCAAACAGCGCAGTTGGATGGACGGGAGGCGAGGAATTCATCGTTTTCAATTTTCACCCTGTTCTGAGCTGCCATTACCTTGCAGCTGGCAGCACCACGACGGAATTTTTGCACAAGGGACACTAGGTGAATTCAACTCCTCAGAGATATCGCCATGACAGGGTAAGGCTATTTTAGCCCTGAAATTGCATGTTAGTTGAAAAAATGTAGCCATCTTTGTATTGTGGCATCCTGGCGGTGTATTTCGTAACTATACTGTATGATAATATCAATTTTATGAGAAATGGCAGCGATTGTGAACAATGTACAATCAACAGCTTTGCAAAAATGATGCAGAGCTGTATGGAACTTTGGAAGTTTGGTACCGTCAGGCGATATAGCACGTCATAGTACATTCGAGATCAGCGGGAAGAAGATGACGACGTCCACTAATTTAGTATCTGTGCACACGAATCTGCTGTGTGTGTTACTCTGTGTGTCAGCTATGGCATCATCGCCTGTGGTTCCATGCCTAGCATGTACGTCTGAACCATCCTGCAAAGTTTGAATGACGTAGGTTGAGCGATCGCTCCGCGAAACATACTTTTTGAAATTCTCTTCATAGTATATCTTCCACCATTGAAATTTCTGCGCAATGCTGAAGGGTCTGCGCAATTACAATGTCATTGTGTGTGACATTGTATACAAAAATTCCCTGTGGTATAATCATGTACTGCAGGGAGTTGTATAGACCCGCCGCCGGGAGAGGACACGTCACAGATTTTCGTGGACATGGTCCAACTCAAGCCCATATCCGTGAATGTTTTTTCTTCAGCTGAGGACTGTCGACGACGTTGAATATTTCTGTCGCGACGACGAAGGGAGCACGGCCCTACCGAGGTGGTCTCTTTCCCGTTTCGACCAGATCTTCGGCAGTTGTTAGAAAAGTGCACTATAGTTCGCCGAGGCTGATCGAAGTGAAACAAATGGAAGCGAATGAAGCTGTGCGCGAGAAAGAAAACAGGTAGCTTCCTGGGTATTTTAATTTTTTTGCGTCCGACAGTCGGTGTGACGGACGTGGTGCACTTCTTTGGCCCAACATAGACCACTCTGTTCTTTCCAGGAACCCAACCTATGAACACAGTGGCACAACCTGGCCGGGCTCTTTTTTGTTTCTTTTTGTTTCTTCGCGGGTAAAAGAGGTCATGAACATTTTCTATATAATTAGGCATCATGAACGCACCAGGAAGTCGTATGACTGGCTGTGACAGCAAGATATTTCTTATGATTTTGATTTCTGCAGCATACATGGCAAGAGGAAGTCATGCCCCAGCACTGACAGGCCTCCAGCGAAGGTCCTATGTGAACGCAAAGCCACGGCAGTGCAAACATTACCAGCAAGTATGTACTCACGATATCAACGTAACATAACATAATATGTGCACAAACGCAGCCGCTCACACACACAGACAGCCTAACACACACATACACACACACATAGCCGCACACACACAGCCGCACACACACAGCCGCACACACACAGCCGCACAAACCCACAGCCGCGCACGCACGCACACACACACACACACACACACACACACACACACACACACACACACACTCTTACTGCAAATCAATAATTATAAACACGTGTGCGCTTATCCAAAAACACGAAGGCACGGGCGTGTAGAGGCATTGCATTCATGGAGACTGGCACCTTCAGGTGGCGTGACAAGGCTGTCAGCTCCTTAGCAGTAAACCCACCAAGTAGCTCCCTTCCTCTCGTGTCGTTGCATGCACCGATGATGTATTCCGCCACTGAACTGTATCGCTTCTCTTTCATAATTATATTCCTTTAATAACACCTTTGTCTCGTCGGGTACGCTTTTGCTTGACCGCTGCTTTTTTTTGCCTTAACTCTGACCTTAGCGAGAGGGATTTCTTATCCGGCGTCAGGCTGTACTCGGATAGAAGCTGTTTCTGCTTGCTTTGCAGAAATTTCGTCACCATTGCAGTGATCTAGCCAAAGCCGGCTGGGAGGGCGACCTGCCAGCTCCAATGGCCGGCTGCAGTCACCCCCATGTAGACTGTAGTGCACTGCACTAGCACTTGAGTCGAGATGGTGGAGTACAACCCATATCCTAGGCATAGGTATGTACAGTAAAGTACGTAGCACTGGCTACTCAGGCTCAGTGCTAGCTCTTCACTCAAGCTCAAGCTCAAATGCACTTGAGTATGCACTTGAGTACGTCAGTAAAATGTAACAGTTCGGGTCAAGGTTCGCTGCTTCTGGTGGTGTACATGGCTGTGGCTAGACTGGGTCTTGTCAGATGACTAATGTACACTGCATGCAGAAATGACCTTGGTGAACACATGATCCATGCTCATGTAGCTGTTTGCTTCCTTTTTCATATTTTGTTAAAGGGAAAGTTAAGGCAAAAATTAAAATTTCACCAGTTGTAGTCTTCGGGGTGCTGAGTCGAATGGTCGTGGTCCGAGGAAGCTGAGACGCTCCCTTCCTACTTGAATCCCAATCGAACTCGCGCACTTCCACCGAAACTGGGTGACTGCGCCCTACTAGATGGGGATTTGTATGCAAAATGTCACTAAAAGTGCCATTTCGTTCTTATAAAAGCATGGAGGACCGCGATTGGCCCATATGTTGTAGTCTTTTGGCCGCTGAGTCGATTGGTTTTGGTCCGAAAAGGCTGCGATGCAGCGTTCCTCCTTTATTCCCAATCGAACATGGTTGAACAAGCGGTCACGTGCTCCTGCGTACACCAGTCACCTGGTCACCGTGCCTGCAGGGTACAACTTACTAGCCTGTTTGACCTTTTTTGGGTGCAATCCTGTCACTCGAGTTGAACTCGAGTTGAACCTTGGTGTGAAAGTTCTCGCCTGCTGGCGTGGTGACCAGGTGATTTGGGCACACAGGAGCACGTGCCCGCTTGTTCAACCATGTTCGATTGGGAATAAAGGAGGAACGCTGCATCGCAGCCTTTTCGGACCAAAACCAGTCGACTCAGCGTCCAAAGACTACAACATATGGGCCAATCGCGGTCATCCGTGCTTTTATAAGAACGAAATGGCGCTTTTAGTGACATTTTGCATACAAATCCCCATCTAGTAGGGCGCAGTCACCCAGTTTCGGTGGAAGTGCGCGAGTTCGATTGGGATTCAAGTAGGAAGGGAGCGTCTCAGCTTCCTCGGACCAAGACCATTCGCCTCAGCACCCCGAAGACTACAACTGGTGAAATTTAAATTTTTGCCTTAACTTCCCCTTTAATTTACCTATAATCACATTTTCACAACTGCCTGATGAATGCCCATAATTGGACGAAGCGAAAGGAGATGCAAGCTGCAATGAAAGATTTGTAGTGGTGTGTGTGTGTCTGTGTATGTCTGTGTGGATACGTGACTGATGGCGGGGTCTGGGGGCGCAGCCCCCAGAACGATGCATTTTAACTAGAAGTAAGAACGTTGGCCGGCTGGCATAAAATCCTGGCTAGACCTCTGCATTGTGTCGTATATGTCTTTAATTGAGGACGCTGTTGTATCAGTCTTGATGATGCTGCCGAATAGCATAGATATGGCAGAATCAGAGAGTAACTCTTGCTTCAGCCTCACAGCTGCATTCTCCCGGTTTTCTTGCAATACACGAGGGAAGCGTTCCTCTGTGACATTGTGCATGCGGGTGAACAGCGGCACGCATTCCTCCCGTAAAATAACTGTATGGTAGGCGTCGTCTCCCACTCCCAGCTCACCAGACCAATTCATGATGCCAGTAAATTCCTGCAGGCTTGGCTTGTGGGTACTGACCTTGCCTGAGCCAAACGCCGAGAGCTTGTCTAGCACTTCAGTGTCACTAGTAGACAGCGCTCTCCTGGTTGCCACAACACACCAGCCAGCATGGTACCTAATGACAGTTCGTGCCAGCTCATTTGCGCATGTATGGTCATTTGGCTTCGCTGAAGCCGGGGAGTGAACTGTGCTGTCTACTGACTGAGAGGTGCAAGATGATGATGACGACAACGATCTGTCAAAGAAGAAATTCACCAACTTTACCTACACTCTGCTTGATGACTCGAATTCTACAAGTGGGAACGCAATAAGAGACAGATATGCACACATGGACTAATTTAATCGGGCAGGGTAGGCAGAGTAGAGAAATCAATGCGAACTTTCGCATTTTCAGTCGGAGAAGTAGTTGAAACGCGAATCGCGGATTCATGTCGGGACAGTCGTAAATTTGCTACGCTGTACTGTATGTACACAAACATGTACATGTCAGACATGTCAACGTCATGCATGTGCGAATTCTGTTTGCTAAACCTCATAACGCGAATTCCGTCACTGAGTTCGACTTTCCTTGGAGTGCGAACACCAACGCGAATTTCATCTCGCTAAACTATACGTATCTACTATACGTATCTACTATACGTATCTACTATACGTATCTACTATACGTATTTACTATACGTAGTAAGTACCTACTATAGTCAACTTGGCTTATAACGACACTCGGCGGGCATCAAAAAAGTGTCCTTTTTCGCGAAGTGTCGTTATACCCGAAGTCTCATTATATGTATTACAGTTGGAAGGGACTTTGCTCTGGGCATGGAAATGCTGTCGTTATTCGCGAATTGTCGTTATATCCGCAGTCGTTATTAGCAAAGTTGACTGTACTTACTTATGTCGAATGAAAATGACTTTGAGAAGTTTACGACTATAGCCGCCAACATTATAGGCGATGCATACTGTAGCTGGAAACTAAATCAGATTTTCAAAGATGCCACACAACGGACATTCCTGAAAGTGCGAGACCCTGTACCACTACATTTTCCATAGTACTCACCAATTATAAGTAATAAAAAATCGGGTCCCGCGCTTGTAGCTTCTGAAGGGCACTGGACCATTCCGCTGCAACAGCCTCGACCTTGCCCAGCTTCAGCTGGTGCAGCGCTCGTCTATACTCCACTACTGACTTCTTGTTTTTGGAAAGTGAGTTTATTTCACTTTACAAGCTGTCATACAAACTTTCTCGTGGAGGCTTGCAATGCAATTTGTGATGGGTCGGATGACACTCTTGAAAGCATACCAGCAAGCTCCGCTTCTCCTGGCTGGTATGCCTGTATTTATTGTTTTCACGATGACTATGCTCTAAAATTGAAAAGAAAGAAACAACAAAATAAGAGGTCACGTTTTCGGACAGCTCTTTCTGTCGTTTGTATCACATCAAGCTACACACCTTTCGCCCACGTCTGAACGTCTTGGCAACTCCCAGAGAGCTCCCAGACCTGTTCGAATACTGACAGATGACTATCATCACTGCTGTCGTCGTCAGAATCGGGGCATAGCACATTGATCTCACGGTCGGAACACGCCATGGTGGCCATGGGTGAAAGAAATACTAGAATGTTGTACAATAGCAGACTACGAAGTTTAAACCGGCACGTTCGGACTCTCCGCCTTCTCCCTTCTCCGTGAAATACTACGAATCAGAAGAAATAGAAGTGCATAATGCCGTCATGAAGTGAAAGCAAAAGCACATGTGAAACTGACAGAAACAACCTCATGCTGCGCACCTGAATGCTTGATCTTTGCGCGCCTTTCTACTGAATTTCCCGCGATATTTTGACTCAGAGCGCAAGGGATTTTCCCGTAGGTCGTGAGGCAGACATCGTCCGAGCTTTTGTGCGCTGTATCCTCTCCCGGGTCTATACAACTCCCTGATGTACTCCATGCATACACATGTTTGAGCGGTGATAATTGTTAGGCTGTGTTTACATGAGAAACTTCAACCCGGGTCGAGTTCAGCCCGGGTTGAAAGTCTGTGCGATAGACAAAAGAGGTGAGCGTTTACATGAAGACAGTTGACCCGGGTCAAATACTGATATGCCGCCAAAAGTCCACTTCTGCAGTCCTGTATGGTCACGTGAATCCGTTCGCGCGAAATTTGCATCTGATGTGCTGTTCAAACCTGGCGCGAGATTCGCACAGAAGTACGTTTGTACGATTTTCTTGACCCGGGTTGATTTCAACCCTCCCTTTGGGGGGAGGGTTGAAATCTGACCCGGGTCGAACTCAACCCGGGTTGAAACGCTTCATGTAAATACTGTACATGGTAAAAATCGAGTGGTGCCATGCTCCTTGGTATGTGTGCCGCTATGTGTGTGTGTGTATGTGTGTGTGTATGTGTGTGTGTACACTGCACTCTCTGTGTATTGATGCCTATGTAGATATCACCATGGTCAACAAGGTCGAACGCTTCCAGCTGCCAACAGTGGATTGCCTCATTTCTCTCACTGGGGTGGTCCTAGCTTGAAGTGATGTGCAGTCAACTTTGCGAACAACGACAACCGGCGGGGCATCAGAAAAGTGTCCTTATTCGCGAAGTGTCCTTATACCCAAAGTCCCATTTTAATGTATGTGAACCCATATTTTGTATAGTATGACATGCATATCAAGATGAAGCTCTTTTCATGCTCTATGTCACTATGTACTTTATTTTCACATCACAATTGAAAGGAACTATAAAGTAAATATGCAAGGCAAACAGAAGAAGGGCTTTAGGCAGTGCAGGAAAGATTACATAATTAATTGATCAGTGAGCAACGTTTGTCAGTGAATTTTCAATTGGGGTAAAAGAGCAATCTGGAATGAACCTAGTTTCTCCAATGATCGTATACATGCAGGCAACTTATTCCATGGAGCAGGACATTGGTTTGATGGTCTCCGTGTGGCAGCGGCGGATGCGAACCTCTTGAAAAGAAGCAGGGGAACATCTGTGCTACTTTTTCGACGGGGTGTGCCACAAATTTGCAATGAGGTCATGAAGAAGCACACTACAGTTATTATGAATTACACGAAAGGTTAGCACGAGGAGTTCGCGGCAATACATTGAGCGCAGGGGTTGAATGGTGAGGCATTCCAAAAGAGGGGCAGTTGAAGACACGAAGGGAGCAGAGCAGACAAGACGCACAGCTCGCTTGAAAAGTTTCTCAAGACGATCACTTTGTGCAGAGGAAAGGTAAGTTGAAGAGCTGTTGCATGAATATTGGAATGTGGGTAAAAATATGCATCTCAAGTAGGTAGAACGGCATGGCATTATGAGGCACTGCCAGTGGTGGCGGAGAACGGCAAACTTTGAGGACACAGTCTTGGATTTATGGTCGACCATTGTGTTCCATTTCGGGTAAAGTATAGTTTCAAGGAACCTGCGAAGGATCACATGTACCGTATTTTCCGGTGTGTAAGGCTGTAAGCCTCATCCCCTCTTTGGGCTCAGGGTTGGTGCATTGTGTTAATTGACATTCTGTGTATATGCCGCATGCCAAACCTTTCTGTCACCCTCACTTTAATGCGTACATCCAACACGTCACCTGTTTATTGGAAAATGGGAAAAGGCTCAGCACAAAATATGGCCAGTGTGCCCCTTATTCAGGACACGATATCTGGTACATCGCAATTGTGCCTGTCAA